CAGGAACTCATATTCATGCCCATTTATGTTAACATGGGGGAGGGGAGTGAGAAAAAAAACAATTTCACAAAATAGCACTTCCCAGCAGCAGCACTTGGGGCTTGGAACTGGACCACTGCATGAACTCACTCCATCATCCATAATTCCATGACTCCCATTAATATGCATCCATCATCTCATATTCATTCACTCATTCATTCAATAATCACATTGGTATGGCCAGTTACTACTGCTTCATGAAGTGAGTTTTGAATTGGCTACTAAACCATTATTTCCCCTTCAACTCCAGTCCAACTAATCTCCCAAAGCAAAAGCCTTGTGTATTCTACAATCCCCACATGGCAAAGTAGGGCTCCAGTTCCCACAAGAAATTCAGTATCCTCTCATCATCAAGTGTGAGCTAAACCTGTCTTACAACACAAATTTTGTCCCACAGGTAACATGACAGTGGGGCTATGTCAGTGATGGCTGACTGCTGTTAAACAGTGTGAGTGAGTGCCCTCCCTGGTGGGGATTGGAATGGCAATACTAGTAGTAGAAGTAATAGTAGTAATAGTAGTAGTAATAGCTCTGTATGTTACATAAATTCATTGAACAGGTAGTTTACAGGGGACAGAATGACCTGCAGCAACAGCAACAAGAGCACCAGGGCATGAGCTTGGCTGTCCAGGGCCTTTCCATCCCAAGAAAGAGAAAGCAGCATTGTCTGTTGGGACAAGTGAATAAGTATTGTATCGGCTTTACTCCAGATAGGAATCTTACACAGCATTCATGTCTAGAAGCTTCTACATATCTGATTTCTTACATGGCTGCTCTGTATGTCCCTGATCACTTGTTTGAAGATACACACTTCAATATGACATGAAAACCATTCCACACTATTTTTTTGCATTGTGGACATTTGATAATATGGACGTTTATAGGACATTTTTGTTTTGTTTCTTTTGTTGTTTTGTTATAATTGTTGTACATTTAAATAAAGATCCATTGAGCAAATACTAGGTATCCTTGGCCCTAACACTTTGCTGTGAGGACAAATTTAGGAGTAACAAATTGTTGAGTAATTTACATTGGGTTTATGCTTCTATTCCACAGTTAGTACATGCACAATTAAGTTTCTAAGAGAAATTGTAGTATTCCAAACAAAAAAATATCTCTTTCTCTTTAGAACCAAGAGAATTTGATCATCTAATTAAAATATTTTTCTTTTATTTTATTTTCTAACAGCTTTTTGGATTTCGCCCTACATAATGTGACCGTAGTTTGTGATTTTTGACTAGATGAGTGAGATTTTTGTTTTTGTTTTGCTTTGAGGTTCTGCTTTTATTATGAGTACCTTTCTTCCTTTTTTAAAATAATATATACATGCATTTGTCTAGAGAAAGGTTCAATTTATTCTTTACTTTTTTTTGAATCTTTTAGATAACACATTTAAAAAAAAAAAAAAAAAAAAAAAAAAAAAACCTTTGTTGTTAACAGAATACTCTGCTAAGTTCCTATTGTAAACTTGCAACCATTTTATTGACAAAAGATGAGACCTAATTTCAAATTTGATATACTTGCATATGCTCTTAAAATTTATAAAACACATACTTTGCAGTATAAAAGAAGCATACAAAAAATCTTTTTTTTTTTTTTTTTTTTTTTTTTTTTATCATTCATGTATACACTTTGAGTACTCATGGCTATTTTTTTGGTACCATATTAATCAAATATATTTAATTTTTTTTGTCGCACAAAAATCTAAGACTATTTCTTATTACCTAGATTTATAACTAGTGACTAGTGTTTTGTGCCACTTGATTAAGGCAAGGTTTCAAGATTGAAATGTATCTTAAATAATCAATCTTGTAATCTTGATAAAAAAAAATTAATAGATTCAGCTTTCAAATTCCACAAATAATGTAAAACAGTACAGAAGGAATTTGCTGCATAACCATAGAAAGGTTTAAGGTTTGTATGAAGATTCTTAATGATTGTGGTGATTATTATTATACCAAAAATTGATTTTAAAATTTTATGGAGCATGTATAATATTCTTTTTTATTTTTTATTTTTTATTATTTAAATGCTGCTTTATAATCCCAAACTACAGTAGAAGATTAGAAACTAATCTAGAAAATGTTTATCTCGTTGAATGAGTGCATACTTATTATTTATTTATTTATTTTATCAATCCTAAATAAAAGATCTTGCAAGTTGGAGTTAAATTAAAGTGTTATTTTTTTATTTTCAACAATAATGATAATATATATATATATATATATATATATATATATATATGAATTTTTTGATATAGATTCTAATAAATTATCTAAAAATTTAATCCGCCCAAGGTGGTTTAGGATTTTTCCAAGTTTATAATACACTATTAAGTTTTTTTAAAGTATCTCCAATCAAAAGACTAAACTCATAAAGACTAAAGACTAAAACATTTCAACAATGTTATCAAAAATTCTTCCTGATTTTTGAAAAGTTAACTTGTACTGTGAAAAAATTGTAAAATAGTTGAACTTTGCATCTTAAAGTATTTATTAAAAAGACTCTTTATATTAGTACTTAATTCAGTATCCTAAAGTAATTTTTTTTACGATGTTTTGAGAAGCTTATATAATTCTACTTTAACTTCATCTACACCAAGGGATTTTTTAGATAATTAGAATATGATTTTATGATACTTTACTTAGAATTTTTCGTAGAAATTTATTTTTTTGGCAATAGTGTTGTTACTTATTTAAAAACAACCAAAACTAGTTAACACTCTTATATTATCATTTACATTATCCTATAAACATCTTGGATATTTTTAAAGCTAAACTTTTAATTCTAATAAATTTAATATGTATTATTTTTATTTATATGCCTATTTTTATAGAAACGTCTTATATTTTTTCTAAGTATGTATGTATATATATATATATATATACATAATATGGTAGATTTACTGGCCATGTAATTAGAATTGCCCCCTTTAGAAGTTCCAAAGAAGAGCATGGATATTATTTTATCCTTTATTGGTAGAGAAGAGCGAAAAGTGCTACTTCCAATAGCTTGGTGTGCATCTTATTCAATAGACATTTAGAATATGTTTTAGAAAATATTTGTGAGTGTAATTTTTTTTAACATAAATATCCTATTAAACTTAAAAGAATCACCTTTTTTTATAATTTTACGTCAATTATATTTTTTTCTTAATTTATATGATTACACACACACACACACACACATATATATATATATATATTATCTACATTGTCTATCTTTTTTTAGTGATTTAAGAGACATATACAAATAAATTATTTTTAAAGTCTATCTAAAGTTATCCACACTTATAATTATTGTTAAATAATTGTGTCTTTTATTTCATCAATAAAAAAATTATATATATATATATATATATATATATGTATGTATAAATATAATAAAATAATTAATTTATTAATGAAATCCCATTATCAACTACATATTTAATATAAGAAGAAATAAATTTTAAAAAAAATCACCAGCATCTATTTCATCTAGAGTTTTAACATATCATATTATTGTACCCTATATGGAACAATATGCACCTAATTACAACTTTTTACTTGATTTTTGGTTTCTTTCACTGCAAAGCTTGTACTCTTGCAGCATTAGTATGTTACTCATTAATTTTATACTATTAAGATAACTATGCAATGTAATTATTTTTGAAATTAACTCAAGGAATTGGCAATATAAAAAGATATATTTTTATTTCATTTCGTCAAGAAGGTGCAAAGAATTGAACTTGTTGTCTAAGTATAATCTCATCTAATCTCACCTATGGTGACAGTGTCTTCTTGCCTGAGCAAGAAATAGTCCAACCTTTCATAAATCTTCAAGGATTAGAGATGATTGAAGTTTACTTGTCATCTTTGCACTAAATCATCTTTACTCATGTGCAACATTAGTACAAAGTTGTTGAAATACAAAAAACATGCCAAACATTCCTTCCAATTACATGTGCATCACTTCAGGAGGCAATAGAGAAGGGCCATTTTGTAATGGATATAATTCCAACCACACTCCTTCCTTGCATTCCATTGTAAGAATAATTTTGTGATCCACCGTGACTCACTTGAGCTTCTATTGGGTCCCCATATCCGCGGTCATAGGGAGGGCCTCCTCATCATGTTTTTCTTCCTCTTCCGGAAGAGACAGGTGACAGTTCCGTCCTTCTACTTCAACTTTTTCTTCGTGTTGTGCTGCCGTTACAGTGACGCTAACGCGGCAACTAATTCTCACTCACTCACAGTCCTGCTGCTGCATGTTGGTGCCCAGTACATGTTTTCTGCCTGCTTGATTCTAACCCGACTAACCGCCATTTCCCTCTGTTGGGTCACTTGCAGCCAGCCCCACCATGATTTTCCTGAGCACAAGACCTTTGATTGTTGTACAAGGTCTCTTGTGCCGAAGCTTTTATTCATGTCACGTTGACCTCGAGAGTTTCTTAATCTGCTGCTGCAGGTTCTTCTACCAGAGCGCCTTTTTACTCCCGTCCCATGCATTCAGGAACCCATTGCATGCCTTCTGCTGTTGTTGCTTTCGTTTGTGTTCTCCTCTGTTGTCGTCATTTCAGTCTCAGGCCGGGAGCCTTTATGCTTTGCAGGTATTACTGCTTTCGGTAGCTCCTTCTTGGATTGCCCTGCTCCCATTGTTGCAGTGTTGCCAGCTGAGCCGTCATGCTACTATGGTGACTTTCAGCTGATGTCCAGGACTAGTTTCAACATGAATGCATTTTGATCGACTGGAGCTTGCCTTTTAAAAAACACTTCTCAGGTTGTGATGTTGTGAGGATGCTGACTGATCAAAATAAGAAAAGTTGAACTGTGAATGTTTTTATTTGTTTTTATTTAGAGCCCCCATGTCACTTTTCTCATCCACCTCTTCATCCGCTTGTTTATTGGTTCGTTGGCCATAGTTTCATGATAACTCCAATTTTCCCCTGATCATAGTAAATGTATTTTTGGAGAAATAAGGAAGTTAACTCTTGTGTACTGTGTTGTATCGAGAAGTGGTCATTAAATAATTTTTAATACAAAAAAATCTGATCAAATCTACTATGAAATGTGTTCCCCAAATTGGGCCCTACACTGGAGGTTGTTATTGGCACCAATCCTGTTCCTCAAAGTTCCTGCCATACGTCTACAAACAAAGTCATAAGCTTTGCAATTTATACCATGTTGCTCGTGCAACTCATACTTGGCAACAAAAAGGATCCACGAGGGGTCAATTTGAAGCACAAACGGGTAATTGCGAACTCCACACTCCTCTAGGACAATTGGCCTCATAGGCCAAGTTATTCATCCTGTAATCTCCATTTTATGAATGCGGAATATTACATCTTTAATGTACCACCAAGGTCAATGTTTCTGCTTAAGTCTGCACCTATTAGCAAACTTAAGGCACCAAAGCTCGGAAAAATCAACCCAGCTAGATGGGTAGAATATTAGGAAAGTCCAATGACAAAAAAAAGAGAGATAGTGAGAAGAGTCTCCAGCTCAATACGTTCTCTATCAACCTCTTAAGTATAATGTGTGGATAGAATTTCTGCTTTGAGGGATAAGCTGCATCTGCAGTAGAGTTATTCATGTCATTCAGGCCAAGGACCAAGTTCTGTTCAAGAGTTCGCTCATGTTCTTCCTCTGCGAAATCACGTTAATAGATCAATCAGTACTCCTTATGAGTTCACGAGTAGCAGCTTAACTTCGAATAGCTTCAGTGTTTAAAATACCAGCTGTTACTAGTCCACGACAGCTGGGTTCAAAACCAAGAAGACACCTTTGGAGGTTTCTACAGATAATAATATGGTTATAATTGCAGACATCCACTTAAAGAGACCAGTGTCAATTCACATGTCAATGAATACATGGGCAGAGTAATGATGAAGGAAGAGCGTACATGTTAATTGTCTGTCATTTTCAAAGTCATATGTTCCTGGTGATATGAAGGAGTTTGCAAGAACATCATCCAAGACTAATGTTCACTTTCTTCTACTAACTGCAACCAAATGGAAAAATGAAGGCTTAACAACTCGATTTTGATATACTCTGCCACACACCCATACCATTTTGGAGGCAAATGGAATTAGTGCTAGATGGAAAAAGTTCCCACCTAGTGTAGATCTTGTGATGAGGAAGTGGCTTTACAACACCCCGCTTCTTTAGACTCGGGGCTAACATTCATGTCCGACTTCATTCGCAAAATGAGGAGTACATATCTACAATACAGCAAGTCGTTCAAAACCTTCAGCACACATTTAGAACGGAGTTGAGCCTGTGCTAAATCAGAGAAATGATGCAGGCAGAACCATAAGCAAATAAGTGCTATCTATTGTGGATCTAAAGTTCCAAATCGAAAGATGATCCTAAAGGTACATTGCAAGAATTTGGCCTAAGATACATTCTAGACAAAAGCCAAATACAGGAATGGAGTGTGGATACTGGTAACAAACATGTGGGTCTCCGTTTAAACTCCACATGCGTCACAGGTAGATGGAAACACCATTATCTAATAGCATCGAGGCAGAAACTTGGAGCCAAAGTTATGAAAACGCACAGTCCTATATCAAACAGACTCAAACAGGCATTCAAGAGTACGATATATATATATATATATATATGAATCCAGTGTCTAAAACCTATTCGGGAGAACTAGATTTTACAAGCTGTATACGGATAAAAATTCAAAAGTTGCAACGAGGGTTGGCCAAAGAGGTTGAGAAAGAGCAGAACATGACGTACAATACTAACTTCCTCATTTGCACAAACAAGTGCATACACAGGCTTGAGAGTAAAACGTCAAGCACAAGGTTCTAATCAACACCATAGATTATACGATATATACCAAATGCCTAGAATGTGAATCAGCAATAAAAGTTGTTTCTTAAAATCTTGCTCACTTTACACATTAGGCAACCAATGACCGTGTTGCATTTTGCTTGCTCCGCAACCACATGAAACTTATGAAGCAGTTTTCAGAAAATTAAGAAAGTTCACTAGTTAAAATAAAAACTTGGTGGAGGAACTAAGAATAACTAACCGTAGAGTGTCCCACGTTGTGATTGTGGAGGAACTTCAAACTTAAGTTCCGACACCTGCATACCAGAAAAAAATAAACCCATTATTTTCAGAAATATCCTCATTCAACCGATTAAAACAGAGCCAAAACATTTACGGAAAAAATCACATAATTCGTGTAAGAAAAAAAAAAAAAAAAAAAAAAACTGTCGAAATGAAGGTTATTTAGCAGCAAACGCACGATGACGATCTTCACATTAATACTTCCATACCACTTTTTGTATTAATAGGTTATTAAAACAAACAACAATAACATTTGGAGTTGCCTTACACAACCAAGAACCACATGCGTCAACTAGCTCTCAAGGTAGGAAGAAAGTGCACCTTAATTGTAGCAGCATCAGAGTTAACGACTTGCCTATTCAGGACCTGCACAAGAATGCAACATTATCCACGACATTTTAATACATGCGCACGTAAATCGAACTAGGCCACATAATACGATATTTATGTTCTGAGATTAAATGCATCACCAAATCTTGACGATGTTACGCATAGGACGCTCTCTGCAAATAATTCTGGTGTCTAAACCAGAGACATGTTTGCTTGTGAGTCTCCTGCTGGAATCTTCAGGGTAAACACACACCCATGAGGCTGTAATTGACCAGTAAACTGAACCTCGTTGTTCCTACTTCATGAAAAAAACGTAAGGAGCTTGCAAAATATGAGCAACTGTTCAGGAAACTGCAAATCTGCTGTCATATTGTGAAGCCTGATGTGCTCACCAAGTCTATTAGACTTGGTATGCTGCACATCAAGTAAACCCAAATCTACAACTTGAAGTATAAAACAATTTGCCATTTCTTGAACCAGTTATCTACGGACTAAAACGTACATTACCAACATTATTATTCATATCCCAATCGAGCCATACAAACATCCCTATTTACAAGAAACAACATTACACGTCAAACTTACAAGCAACTTAAATCTGGTGCTGAGTTTGAGTACCTTATCTCTCGGAAATGCAGGGTGCGAGTAAGTATTAACCGTTTGACGACCTGCCAAATCGTCGGATAGGAACCAATGTAAACCTGGTAAACTTACGAAAAAATTGTTTCCTACATGGTTCAAATTTAAGACGAGAAGGTGATTTGAAAATTTTCAAGAGTGCCAATCACAATGAGGTCCAGACGGTTTGATTGCTCGAATTAGTGCAGCTTCACAAGATACTCATCAAATACAATGTTTCACAACTATAGGCCCATACAGTACTAATGCCATGTCAAAATGACCCACTGTCCGTGTTACTAGAACATCTTTACTTCGCCCAAAATACAGCTCAGAAGGTTAATAGAGAACTCCACCTCGCAATATATGTACAAGCCGAAGAAACATTACTCGCAGTCCACCAAGTTTCTAACGAGGTCAATGCACACAGCTACATCAATCAGGTTTCAGGGACCCAAATTATTTCCCCTCAAGACAATACTACGGATGAAGTCCGAAATTATTCCAATGTCTCTCCAAATGGAACCATTAGTTCCGACTTGATTTAAGCTAGCAATCCAACAAACACATCCACCAAAAGCAAATTCATGTCTTACCTGAAAATCATAACTCACACGAGACAGACGAACACAGAGAAATCTCAAATATCAGTAGCCTACATTCTCCCCAAAATGCTCGCACAGGCTCTCGACTTCATACGACGGAGCACCCTCGTCAGCTGTAAAAGCCACTGCGGCAGCTCCGACTTCCGCAATCACGTTATCTTGCTCCTTGGTGGCGATTGCGATGATCGCTGTTTCGCAGTCTTTGGGCTGATTACGGTTGATCCAGTGGAAGCGAACACAGAAGCCAGAGTTCATAATTCTGGGTTTAGGGCTATTGGGATGGGGGGGGGGGGGGGGGGGCTGTTGAAGCTGGAGAATCCTCAGGACTTTGGTAAAGGCTCCATTGTGGCATTTCCCTCCGTCTTCAATGCCATGGAAGGCAGGGCAGGTTTATATTTAATCTTTCACATGGGAGAAGGTATCAGTCATGTTTATTTAGGGTAAAGGAGAAACATGATAATTGAGATTTCGTTTTTTCCTCTATTTTTCTTTTTTTTATCGTATGGAGGTTTATACCGTATAGAAATTGAACACAACTGTGGATTATGCCGGCATTGTGCTGTAAATTAGGTTGTAGATCACAATAATCTCGGCTTGATTCAGAACACTTTATCATTGAAAGGAGACTTCCAGCAAGCAATGAGGGAGATGAGACTCAAATGTGAAGGATTTCAATGAGCGTCTACATGACGATAAACCTTGCAAAAAAGGGTGTTAAAAAGTGAAAAAATGAATTGCTCCAAATCAGACTCCTGACGGACTCCCTGAAGCTTCTAAAAAACTATAAAATTATGAAATCTTGACCATTTATGAAGAGAAAACCCATAGGCCAAGCTACGCGTATGAGTTCTAAACGACGTTGGTCTCCAAAAGGATCTGGTAAACACCAACACATATCTCTCCTGTGATGAGAAGAATAATGATCCACTCGAGTGTATCCGACTTTCTATTTTGTAGAATCTCCAGAAAGAATCGCACATTGTGCTGCAAACCACAGACGAATGCTACAATCAGTAGGCTGTCCTACCGCACAATAGACTTGCTTTACACAACAGTAGACTAAAATGGGGATGTCACACCCATGGAAGGCCAAAGAAACCATCAAAACCTCAGAAAGCCACAGTACAACATGGAACAATTACAAGATAATCCAGAGCGCGCAGTCACTCAAAATACCTGTATGATATTAAGCTTAAAGTCCAAACTCTCAAACCGTTCATCAAGTTCAAAGTCATCGCGCAAGTACTCCCAAATCTGAGCATAATTGGCGTCCTTCCAAGCAGCATCGGACCTGTTGAATCAAATTGTGAAGCAAACCATGATCAATAAACACCAGAAAATCCTAAAGCGTTAAGAAATTAATTGTATAAAAATCTTTATCTCCCTAGAGAATCCACTAAAACTGTCAAAGTAGATAAGAAAAATACTGTTTCCGTAAAAAGTATCACTAGAAACCTGGGCAGAGAATGCCGACCTCTCCAGGAGGCCCAAGCGGAGGATAACATCTGCAAGAGTGGTGTTGGCAGCCGCTACCAGCTGAAACAAGCTCTTCCGAGTCATCGTGAAAGTACCAGTGTTCTCCATTCCTCGGTTTAGCTCACTGAACGTATTAACCATCTCATCCACCTGCATCATTTATAGATGTCATCCACTTATCCAACAAATGAAATCCTTAACATGATTACGGTATCTGAATGGACCCAGTACGAATCAAGGTTTGATTTATTGAACTTGCTTTCCAGAAACAGCTCACACTAATATTGAACAACCAGTGCTACCACTGAATGAACCAGAGATTTTTTAAAAACAGTAAGAAAAAAAAAGAGTAAAGGGTGGCAAAGAACCTTCTTGGCGTAGTGATCAAGGGCAATACTTTGGCCAAGAATGCTAGAAATAACTCTGATGTTGTCGGTGTCAAGCATCCTCAACATGATTCGGTCCTGTCCTCCCTCACTCCACTGACGTAGGGTTGGCCTAACCAGCACCCCATAATCTGAGAAGATAAAGCAGCGTTTCACCAAATATCGTCATCTCTTTCTGAATTGACACGAGTCATGTCTCAGAAAACAAAAATAATCTGACGACTAGTACCATCACATTAGGGAATTGTGTTACCTTCATGCTAACAAAGCCTCACATCAAAAGCCAACAAAGGCTTCGTTTCTCCTCATTTTACTCACTACAGGTGGTTAATCCTTAATAACCATCCGCATTACAGAACATGACATAATGAAATAAAAGCGATGGCAATCACCATCTTTTCTTGTCTCCCGGAACTTGTCTGTGCAGAATTTGCTCAAGGCAGACAGAGCTTCTTCCTCTTCGTCATCACAAAAGTTGAAAAACACAATGGATCCATACTGAAAGGCGACCATGTATCTATCTTGGGAGCGACTTATTTCTGCAAAACCCTGCCATCAAATAGTACGCATATTTAACAATTCTTTTCAATCATTGGGAGGTCGTTAACACGACTCAGCATACCTCCTCAAAACCCAATACACTGTTCACTCCAAGGTGCGCTATCAAAACAAGGAGAGGGATGCGGGGAGATACAAGATGGAGAACTGTACAGGTCTGTTTGACGTAGGTTTCGCATTAGCAGGCCGGTTGGTAAATCGAATGATAAGATTGTTGCGCGAAGGGGTTATCTCCAAGAAGGGTTCCTCTGACAGCCGCTTCAAATCCACACTGCATCCCAACGCCAACCATCAGCAAAGGCAGTCATCACTTCACGATATCTCACATGATTGTGAAGACGTTTATCACAAAGAAACACAGAAGGAGATTTAAATTAGCTACCATTCAGGCTCTAACTGCTTAAGCAAGACCGCAAACAACAACTAAACATCATCAACAACAGAAACCACGCAACAATGTAGCATGTAAAGGAAAAGCGAAGGAAACTCACCTTCGGGAGATGTAACAAGCCTTCACAGGTATATAGACATCGTCCTGCTGAAATTTAGGAGGTGGGTTAGGGGAAAGGCTCGTCCGCTGACGGGTCTCATGATCCCGCACACGCACATGCTGTTGGCCCCATTGGATGCCCTCGTCATCCCTTGACATCTTCAAATCCTCAGTACCTTTCTTAAACTTTCGATCTCTTGTGAATACTTTGTCCTCGTCATGGTCCCATTCCCTTTCTCGTAGTGTCCTGTTCTGATCTACTGACGGAACTTCTTGACTGAGCTGCGATGGAGTCGTTTGTTCAGGGGTGTCCCAATACTCAGGTTCACGGCTGATAGCATGTGAGACATGTGTTCGACCCGGCGTCAGCTTAAACTTCAGCTTCAAGTCTAGGTTGGAGCTGAGAGAGCATAGCTTTCGGCCGACGGGACCAGGGTAATTGGAATTCGACGTGGAGACAGTTGACTGACCTTCAAATACATGATCAGGTATGGAAGAAAAATGCCTATGATGGCCTACTCTGAAGTTCAAATGTAAGTATACACCAATAAATTTCTTTTTGAGGCCCAAACCCTGCGCTAACCTTTCACATAGTTTCCATAATTGTTCAACGGGCTTGCCTCCTGAAACAAAAGTGGTTTTAATCAGGATTGCTTCATTGCTTGCAGGAGCAGAGTGACTCGCCGTGAAAGCCCCGCCAAGCTGCTGCAAATGTCTCCATAAACTGCCTGATCTCATTCTGCTTTATCCCAATCTGTGGCAATCATCTTCCCAGTCAAATTCCTGGGTTTCTTGTTCCAGAAATCGATCACCAAATTATCGTTGCACCTGCAATGCAAATGCGTTGCTACCATCACGTTACTTCCAAAAAAGTAAAAAAAAAAAAAAACAAAAAACAAAAAACAAACAATCACACTATTTAGCAACATCTGAAATATCACTCATCTCGCAGAAATATAGCGGCTCTCAAATTAGGGCTCGCAACGGAAGAGGGTCTTCACGTAGCAATAACTCAATCTCACAATCACAAACACTGCATTGAACTTTATTGATTTGCCTCACTGGATGTATCAAGCCAAGTCGAAAACCCTCCAAAAACATTTACTTATCACTTCCACCCACGGAATAATACAAAGCTGTCTCCAGGTAGGGGAGCCCAAACACAAAACATAGGCAAACAGGGAAAAAAATCTCACTCCTGCACCTTGTCCACAGAACACAGAACAACAAGTTCAAATCCCTGACAAGCTGAGGGGACTAACCTGGGCCAAGCAGGTGCGGATTGAGGCGAATCCGGAATCTAGAAACGCAAGAGCCAAGGAATTGAGACCAACGGCGCCGCAGAAAGCATCAGTCCAGTGCGGTTGCCCTCATCATCCTCACCCCAGGCAGGGCAGGAAGTTTTTTGCACCAGGATGGACGTGGATGAAACAAAAGCCCTGATGCACGCAAACCAACTCGTCTTCCAGCAACCTCCTCCTCTACAGGCGACGATGAGGATATGCGTCAGCGACATGGCCATGGTCTACAAGCTGATGAACGCTGCTGGTCTCGCTTCGCTTTGCGATTCATACATCCAATTTTATTATGTCCCAGCTCCGCGACAGGTAACCGCCATGACCCTGCTGCAGAGCACAAGTGCCATCGCCATCTCGCACCTTTCCCTTGCCCTTCCCTGCAGCACACCTCCTCCGCAATGCCTACCGTGGTAGTAACTTGCTAGTATGCGATGCAATTCCTAGATTCGGAGTATTTTTGTTGAACTGTAAAATCTACGAGATGAGCAAGATTATGTAGAGATTTCAGTCCAAGATCGGAATAAAGATAATATCTAATTAGACTAAAAACACACTACTTTTAAAGATTATGTCCATGCATCTAGGAATTTCAATAAAACTAGCATTTTTTAATTTTTTTTTGTCTTTAATTTTTTAAATTTTTTTCCATTCTGTTGCATGAGAGTCTATTATTATTTAAAAAGAATTTATATACAAATAGAACTAAAATGGTTTCAGTTTTTTGAAGACCTATATACTACTTCATCAGTAAATATTTAAATGATATTGTATTAGTATTAGAATATGTATTCTAAAAAACAACTAAATTTTTTATAAATAAATGAAGAAAAATTCAAATAAAACTAAAGGCATTGACAAAAAAATTTAATATGTGTCTTTTTGAAGGTATATTTTAATAAAAATATATATAATTTTAAAAATTGTATAAATTATTTAGTGAGTTGTCTAAGTTCAACTATATATATATATATATATATATATATATGTATTGAAGAATAGTAAATTGATCCAAGTGAATCATATATCAATCTATTTTTGTTCCCATTGTTATATAAAGTCATCCTCCCTTATCAATCTCTAAATTTTGTGTATTTACATATATATATATATATATATTCTCATTCAAAATTGTATTGTATGTATCTGATGTGTGCACAATGAGTGGACAAATCAAATGATTTTTTTATTTTTTATTTCTTTTTTTATTTCTTTTTTATAACTTGATCAAGAAAAATAAAAAGTTGGAGTGGAATAGATGAGCAAGGTGATTAAGACGTAGTGTAGGGCACTAAGAGCAAAGGTGGGTCAATTTAAGATTTCCATTGGTTGATTTAATATTCTTAATATACATATATATATATATACATTATATATTTCACCATTATCTGTCAAATATATATATATATATATATATTACGGGGGAGCTCCATTTCACCATTATCTGTCAAAGACATATACTTGTTTAAAATTATATTAAATATAATTGATTAAATAAGTTAATTTGACAAATTTGACAAATTTGTAAGACATTATTAATATTCATAAAAAATCCATTTACATATAGTTAGTTTTATATTAAAATAGTAGCTATAAACAAACAATGCATAAGAGTATTTTTAGAAAATTTTAAAATTGTATATTTATTTGTTGATTTATTTACAAAAAAATATTTTTTTTTCATAAATTTTAAAATTGATTTTTAAATAAGAAGACATTGAACCAATCTACACAAATTTGAATGATTAAAAATTGAAAGAGGTCTAATAAAATCATCCTTTAGAAATAGAAATGGTCGAAGTTTTTTTTTAAGCAAATTAGATACAAAATTTGATTAGTACAAAAAAATGAAGAGTACATTTAAAACACATTGATCTAAAAATATTAATTTAAAAAAAAAATAGCTCCCAATTCTAAATAGCAACAAAAGTGGAAGATAATCAACATCATTTGACAATCTTTGACAGATAATGGTGAAATAGAGCTCCCCCGTTCGCAGAAGTGGGTTCAAGAGATAAGGTGAGGAGGGCTCGATGTTCCCCGCCCTCAAGCCGTGACGGAGGAACCAAGGTTCTGTTTGAATTCAAATTTGGAATTCGAACCTGGCATTGGTTGTTCCGTCGTAGGCTCCCCCGATAGACAGACAGACAGACAGACACCCTTCTTCTTCATGATGAAGGACATGCTGGGCGGGCCTTTTTTGTCAGGTACGATGGCGACGACGATGCTTGGACATTCTGGCACTGCATTCAAATTTCGAAGTCGTAGACAGTTGGCATCCTTTCTTGAGCTTGCTTGATGGCCATCCTTTTGAACGCTCATCCCGTCTTTTTGAGTCGACGGTCTAGCTCCACCTTGGAAGACTGAAAAGTCGGCATTTAAGAACAGCACAGCCTGAGGGGAGTGCCTGCGAAGCGGGGACGAATCCATCTGTGTGGTTAGTGGATAATGGTTCGTGAAATGTGTGTGTGACCCTCGAATGTCGACGTTAATTGTGGTAAATTGCGCCACCTTAATTGGCGCGCGTCATGGCTGACACTCTCTCCGAAACCTTGACATTGTAGAGTTTCGTCATTGGAGGCGACGAGAAGGGTGGACACCGACTTTTAAGACTTCATCGTTCTTATCGTTTAATCACGACGAGAGATGCATGTCGGCGACGAGTCGATGGCGCTACCAGCTTCGACGTTGCGATCGCCTCCTGCATCGGCATACGGCCAGGTACTGTTCGCCGTCTCCGCCACCTTATATAAGAAAGAGAAGATTTAGATGCAAATAGCATCTCACTATTGCAGCTGGTGCACCAAGCAGGATGATAGCTCGCGCAGGGATTTGGATCATGAGGGAATCGCAGGGTCTAGTACAGTGTAATTTTGTCGGAATCTCTAGCGATATCGCCAATTTTAGCATGTCACATGATTTTTTTGCTAAATTCTCTGCACGTTACACTGATTCCTAAATTCCTCAGTGCGAGAATTTCTTTTTTGTGTCTGAGTCGTGCTTCTTGTAAATATGCCTCGAAGTCTACGCAGCGTTCATGTGAAGAAGGTTCATCATCAGCTGTCTCTGAATCTTCTAGTCTACACACACGCTCCTCTTTTCGTAGTTCTAGAGCTCTTATTCTGCTTCATGGTTCTCTTCATAGGTGTTGTCCCCATGGAGTACCTGTCCTCTAGCTTCTTCCTCGATGTTGGTTTGAGCGAAGAGTGCCGTGGATACTACACACACTAGGCACTGATTGCGCCTGGAAATTTTATGTTTTGTAAAGAGTTTTTCTTTTTTCTTTTCCCTTAAATCTCATATCATGGACTTTCGAATTTTGTTGGGTTCACCTAGAAGTATTCTGCTTCAGCTGGTGCTTCTAGGGTTTGGTTCTAGAAGTCTAGTGGAATCGAACAATGGACATTATTCACCTGAATTCGGTTGTGTTGTTTCCCTTTTGGCAACACGCAGTATGAGCGTGGAGAGAACTGGCCGTACATGAGTGTAAAGCGAGGTCCGGTACTACGGCCATGTTGTAGGCTTACCAGTTTTGGCATTTACGAAAGTAGTGGTATTGCAGGGTTAAGGGGTTCGAGGAAAATAATTAAGTTTTGTTGTGGACTTTGTTTTGTGTAGGATGTTGAGACTGACGGTTCACGTTCTTGACAGATGCGTCTCTAGTTCGTCGGGGTGGGTGCTGCATTTTCGTCCAGGCAGAAAACACCATGATCTTGGAAAATGGTCGGGAGTCTTCTGGGCTTCATATTTTGAAGTAGGCGTGTGTCCTCGGAGCGTGCCACCGGGGGTTGAATGACAAGAAATGCAAGTTCTAGAAAAAAAATAAAAAATAAAAAAAATAATAAAATGAGGAGGACGTTGTGAAGCAAGGAATCAGACTCGTTAGAAAAGAGTATTTGAAGGGTAGACTGGTGAATAGTGCAAATAATCTACGCGTGATTAGCCATACCGTAAGTGTACATCGGATAACAGGAAGTAGTGATAGCGGGATCAGTGACATTTTTGAAATGTTTTGGTCGCAGCTCTGCATTTTTGCAAGCCACACCAACCAGTGCCGTGATGCATTTCACCGTGTTCCATGCGAAGGCACGACCTCCCGATTGGTTATACAAATGCAGCGAAATGTACTCGTCAGTTGAATTTAGTTGTGTACATTCTTAAGTTGTCGGCGCGCCAGGTGCATCGGAGCAGCTATGGAGATTTGGACGGCTTTAATGGTGGAAGCCAGACGTCGGATAATTGTGGTTGCAGTTGTAGCCATCAGCCTTGTCTACATGATGTCCTTGACGAGCAACTCAGTATGGATCAATTTACCCATGACGACCCTTTTCTTAGCTGCTTTGCATCACATTTCGTTTGATATTGAGATTCGTTGGAAGCCTCCCCCAACGCAGTTTTCTGTAGCACCACCGCAGCTGCATCGACGCCAGCTGAGCTGCCATAATCCTCTTCTCTCCGAAGCATTCCATGCGACTGTTAACAAATTTGATTCTGCCAGTGTGGAGGCTGCTGTGAATGAGCTCACAAGGAGCTTAGTTGATGAATGGGTGACTAACCTTTGGTATTCTTCCGTCACCCCCGACGAAGAGGCGCCGGAGGAACTCCGCATTTTCATGAATGGCATGATAGGCGAGGTAGCCCAGCGTGTGAAGCGTGTGAATCTGATCACTCTTCTCTCACAGAACTTGGTGGATCTTGTGGGGTCTCAGTTAGAGCTCTATCGGCGGATGAAGGCGAAGATTGGACCCGACATAATTTGCTCACTTTCTACAGAAGAGCGAGACGAGAAGTTGAAACATGCGATGCTGTCCTCCCGTGAGCTGCATCCAGCACTTGTTTCCACAGAAGCTGAGTACAAAGTTTTGAAGAGGCTAACGGGAGGTATAGTCGCTTTAGTGCTCAAACGACAAGATGCACAGTGCCGGCTGCTTAGAATTATGGCAAGGGAATTGCTGGTTTGTGTAGTGCTGCGTCCTATTCTCAACTTGGCGAGTCCTGAGTTCATCAATGAAATTATTGAAAATCAGGCATTAGCTTCGACGGAGAGGGCACGCCGGGCTGCTGAAGAGGCAGCCGAAGCAGCCAAGCAGCGACTTCCGGATCGGATATTGCAGAGGAAGCCTTCTGTTTCGGGTCTAGAGATGACTTCCTTAGGAAAGTCTGAGTCCACAGGAAGAGGATTAGAAATCGTCCCGTATCAGAAGAGTAATGAGAGTTTTCCAGTTTCCGTTGATAGCATTGGGACGTCTTTCACGGCGCAACAATCAGTGGAGTCAGAATCATTCGAAGAGACTCTACCTGATGATGTAGGAGAGTGGGGTCCCATTCCTCGTAGAGATTGGGCTCAAGTTCTGGATGCTGTAACTCAACGCCGAGCACAAGCACTTACTCCAGAGCATTTGGATAATTTATGGACTAAGGGGAGAAATTACAAGCAGCGAGAAAGTGAAAAGGTTGCAGCTCTTGCTAGCACCACCCAAAACAAGAAAGACAATGCTGGAATATGTACACTAACTGCCCCAAGCACCAAAGTGCCAACACCATCAACTGCTTGTAAAGGTAGCCCTGAAAATTCAGGCCGTGAAGATATGGTGGCGACTTCCTTCTCTCTCCTCAGTAAATCGCTGCCAAGTAAGAAAGAACGCAGCAGCGCAATCGAGCAGTACAGGGAGCTATTATTTGGAGATTCAAAGGATGGGGACAAGGGTATACCTGGTATAGGATTCTCGCCGGCTAAAACAGCATGTCGCAGTTCAGAAGTACCAGATGGCTCTAGTGCTGCCAAGTTGAGAGTCAGTAGGAAAGGTCTAGATTTCGCGAAGTGTTGCAGTGATGAGGGCTCACTGCTTTTCAGTCGAAACGATGAACCCATGTCTGAAAATAACAGGCACGAACCCAATGCTCGCAAGAAACTGGCAAAGTCAGCTTCTGGGCCACTAAATTTACAGTGGTCTCCACGACATTTGTCATTTCGGAAGTCCAAAAGCATGGATGGTGAACGACATGGGTGGGAGGAGACGGAAGGAGGGCCGAAGGATGAACTTTTAACTCCGCTGGACGCTGAAGGAGGACCCTTAAGTAGAGGTACGATCATAACAGACCGTATACAGGAGAGCAGCGTGGAGGAATTTCTTCACCAGTGTCCTAGACCTCAGACTCCGTCCTTGGCTACAGAATCTACTTCTCAGATGTTTCTGAAGTGTCGGGTAAGTTGAAATCAATAATAGTTTGGCACATACCCTTAAGTCTGTGAATCAGTAGTCACGGGTTCTAGATTTCAATTTGGGGTTTCTTCCCCGATTTTGTTATCATGTCTTGGTCAACCACTGCTCACGTCTCTCTGCGCAAGGAAAAATGTTCACATTATATTTTCTGTGAGCCAGGCCTTGGGAGCACATTTTCAGAAAAGTGGATCTAAGGCATTTGCGGTGTACACTATAGAGGTGGCAGATGCTTACAATCGAAGCTGGCGTGTTCAAAGAAGGTCAGACTAGGGCTGATGGACATGTCACTCAGATATGCATCCTATCTGTACTTTTGGATTATTGAAAAGAATTTTGTTGTTGATATTATTGTTTTTTTTTTCTCTGGTGTAGGTATCGCAACTTTGAACAGCTTCATAAGCGCTTGAAGTATGTGTCATCGTACTCTCTTCGTCTACCTCCAAAGAGATTTCTCTCGTCCAACCTTGACACTATTTTTGTACGGGAGCGTTGTTTACTTCTTGACAAGTACTTGAAAGTAAGTGCAGCTAGTCGATTGATTTCTCATTATTATGAATGTGACGTGCCTTTTTATCCGTTTATGAACCTTATTGTGGGGATCATTTGAGATGATGGATTAGTTTTGAAGCAACTGAACTTACAATTTGATTTCCATCGTTTTGGTTCATGTTTTAACATGCATTTAGGCCGTCACAGCTCGTCAACAAATTTACACTCATTTTCTCCACGAACGGGAAACTTACCCATATAGTCATACATGACAAAACGTGGACATAAAATCTTTGTACGTATTTGATTCTCAGTTACTTTTTCTCGGGTTGACAGGATTTGCTAGCGATGCCCAGCGTAGCAGGACTGCGTGATGTGTGGGATTTCTTTAGCATCAACTCTCAGGTGATTCATTCTGCTAACCTCTTACGATGATGGGAATGGATTTTGGCTAATGGGTTCGAGAGAATTTGATTGATTATTCTCACGGATGAGCTTTATGTGTTATTCAATTTACTTGAGATGTTTGGAGTTCGAGTATATTGTACAGTTAATTACAAGTAGTTGATGTGTTCTATCTGGCCACTAGATAGATCATAATTTTTGGTTTGTATGCACTGCAGAAGTGTTAGTCGTAATGAGTAAATATTTTGTTTGGACCACTTTCAGAAATTAAAAAGAACTGTGCTTTTATTTATTTATTTGTTTATTTATTTTGTCTTCAATCAATTTCTAAATTGTGGGATTCTTACGTACAGCACTACGCGCCTGGCGTTTCACCATCTATGATGAAGACATTGGCGGGTATGCTGTCTTTTGGTAATCTCGTCTGCTTGGTCAGCCAATAAATGTTGACTGGAGTGTTCTTTAGAATTATGCAGATGAAGATTATATGGATATTATTCTGCCTGTACGTTGCTCCTGCTCATACATCCATGTGTACCAGTGAATATAGATGGTGTCAAGGACGACTTGTTTCGCCAGATTCGAGGTATTTCAGATGATATCTCTGAAGCGCTGAAACTAGCAACAAGTGGAATCCGGCAAAGGTTACCGTTGGGCAGCGGAGATCTTTGTCAAAACGTAACTACAAATAGCACACACCTCAAGACAACCTTGTCCTCTGAGTCGATGGAAACTCTTTTCGTCCCCGGCATAGACTTTGGTGGTAAAATGCTTAGTAATTCAGCCTTAGGCGAGGAGTATGAACGAAATTATGGGACAAATCCAAAGAATTCTGCGGAGGGAGTGGCATCAGTTGAATGGCACTCAGAAAGTGAGGTTTCTGGAGATTTTTTCGAGGCCAATATTTCTAAGACTGCAGCCCATGCATTTGGTAGCCAATTGGATTTGAGGTATAATCGGTGGATCGGAAGGCGATTAGAAAGTGCTCCTTCGGATGGACATTCACCAGTCGATTCAATTGCTTCTGATGTGATTGGAGATGAATTTGAGATTCCCAACGAGGTACACAATTTAAAATCTTTTGTGCTGTCTGGTAGTTACCATAACCGATGGTCTTGTTAATGGAGTGCACTTAAATGTGAACAGGGTCATTGCTGATTATGTTTGGCTTGATGCAGTGGTCGCCGCCAAAAGTTACTGTGCCGATTCTTAATTTGGTTGACCAGATTTTTCAACTTCAAGGTCGTGGCTGGATCAGGTATGTTGGCTGAAATTAACATTTTCAGTTACATTGAGTTTTCTGTCAATCTGCTCGCCAGTATCATATGATTAGAATCACCCTTGTTTGTCACGAAAGGCATATATGGGTTTAGTCCTCTATCAGACGTAGCTTTTTAAGCTGTAGTACTTCTATCAGTATCTACCGGTTCTCTAAGCAGTATGTTCATATGCATGAATAAGTTGGGTTTGAATGTTTTACAGACGTCAAGTTCTCTGGATAGCGAAACAAATTCTTCAGATTGGTATGGGTGATGCTTTTGACGACTGGTTAATTGCGAGATTGCAATGGCTAAGAAAAGAAGAAGTCGTAGCATCGGGCATACACTGGTTGAAGGGGGTGAGTCATTTGTACTTCTCAAATGGTGCAAGTTCGCGTACAGCAACCCGCTGCAAATGATGAATAAGTGCAACTCCATGTGAAGAGAAATGATAAACCTCGGTTGTGTGGCAGGTGCTCTGGCCAGATGGTATATTTATTACCAAACATCCCAAAAATTCAACGATCGTTGAGGATTCCGCAAGAGGATTTTCTGATGATAGTAGAGAAGGGCAGCAGCATCCGCCACTTAATTCATTTGAGCAAAGGCAGGAGGCTGCGCGACGAGCTGAAGTTGTGCGAGAGATCATCCTTGGTATGTATTATATCGTGTGTGAAGTCTAGTTCTTCAGAGGGCGTGAGAGTTCACCTTTCTACTGAGCTCCTTCATGGACAAGATGTTCCTTTTCCTATTTCCTTTCCTTTGTCCTTTCTGGTAATTTTGATATTGTGAGTCTCTTTTACTCATGTAGATTGTATGTGTATTACTCTGAATAACCATCAACGAGTGATGTAATAATTCGTTTAATATTCTCACACTGCATTTCTTGCTTTAGACAAAGCACCTGCTACATTAGTCAGTATTATCGGCAAGAAACAGTATACAAGCTGTGCGAATGACATATATTACTTCTCTCAGGTGAGACCTGATCGAGTCCAAGTCTCAATCAGTTAAGAGGTTAAGTTTAATTTCAAGTAAAAAAAAGAATTGTTGAACTTCAGATGTTCTTATTCCTGACTTTGAATGTGGAGGAAGTAGTTGGAAGCCCTGATCATCTAATATAGGCTATGCTGGCTTGATTTTTTATATAAAGTTGATTATGGAGGAAAGGTTCGCTCTTCGCCTCATTTATTGTATTACTGAAGGCCGTGGCTTTTGCAGGCTAGTGTGTGCATGAAGCAACTGGCTTACAACCTTTTGGAAACGGCATTGCTCGCAACGTTCCCGGAGCTTCATGATTTGGTTCTTGATGTCCGGAGCACCGTTATATTACGATCGTAACATGATGATGCACCATGCAAATAATACCTATGAAATTCTCAGGGCTGTATTCACAATGAGTGCAATTGAAAAAGAGCTCAATCTGAATCCTAGTAAGAGTTCCTAAATTATGGTTATTCTTTTCTTTTGAGTCTCAGCAGCTGAGACCATCACTACCATATCTGGTTCATTACACCCCGAAAGTAGGTAAAGATTTCTCGAATGTAAATGTAACGTTATATTTAGGTCAATCTATATGGAGGGTTGCTTTCTTTGGTACCTTTTCTCTTATCATTGCAAATATTTATTCTGAGGTTATGAGATCATGGATAATGCTTGAAACGTTGATTTTAATAATGCACTCGCATCACGCTGTGTTCTAGAATAGTTGATTTCGGAACACATCAAACCAATTGTGAAGGAATTTCATTCTCTTTTTGAAACAAATTGAGTATTTACAAATAGTTAGCTTGTCACCTAGTCTTCCAAGCTCTCTTGATGTGACATGTAGGTTACAAGCAGTCCTCTGCAGTATGTTGGATTTTATGAAAACATGATTTTTTTAAATACTGCATTGTGTACAATGAATAAAAATTATATTTGTGACAAATGTATATCATGGTGGTCACAATCCTTCACATGCAACAAAAATGACTTCTATACTTTTCAATAGAGGGTATGACATCAAGACAAATGGGTGCATGAACTTTTGATAAATATCACCACCTTCAAGCATTTGTGTTAATTCTTTACAAGGTGATTTCACAAAAATCTGTTAAGTTGGGTAAAAATTTGCAAATTAACAAAAATTATTCAATTAATTTTCTTGTTTAAATTAAAATCATTATTATTTAATATTTATTTTATTTTATTTTTTTTACTTATAATTATAATAAAAAGCTTACTTGACCCATTTCGAAAATCCTTTATACTTTACACTATGTTCAAATGCCAAATCTAAAAAAACAATTTTTTATGCTAATGAAGGGCATGAGACCATAGCCTCTTAAAATAGGCTTGTAGGTATAAAGACCTTTCAAATACCTTACATAAATAATAATAATAATAATAATAATTAATTAAATTAAATTTTGTATGAAGAATTCATTTTTAAAAAATATATGTATTAGTTATTACAAATTTATTGGCAGCTAAAGATTCATGAGTAAAATAAATTAAATTTTAATATATTAATTTCTATTAACTTAAATCAGAAAAAAAAAGCCATAGTTTATTTGAAACCAAATAAACTCACATTTTTAAATTCTTTCATTATAAACAACCTAACATTGAAAAGGTTTTAAGTTTTTCTCTTTTTAAATCATCAATACTTATACTTCACAACTTAATCATAATTTTTAAATTTTAATGTCATCTTTAGCACTTAATGTCATTATTTTTAAATCTATTTTTTTAAATATATCATCTACAATAATTTTTGTTGCATAATATCTTATATATGCGACTTTATTCTTATTATTTCTTTAAATGAAGTAGTAGTGTACATCTATGTGTCAAGGACAAGAACTCGATGAAAAAAAAATTCAGACAAGTGAGCCTTCACTCAAAGAAAGGTAACAAAATATAAATAAACAAGTATGTATATTGAAAGAGAAACTGGAGTGGCTATTGCCAAAAGACAAAGAAACTAGAGACCCTTGAAACTAGACTGGAAGCAAAAAAGGAGTTGACAAGAGTGAAGAAGCCTTTACTCTTGTCTCTATATATACTATCTAACTAAGGGCTACATGGTGACGTTCTATAGGACCTCCAATATGTGTTGACTTTGTAGAATACATGCCTTGACTTACAAGGCAAGTTTTTCTACGTGTGGGCCACATAGTTAGCTTGATCTTCAAGCTAACAATATGTGTGGCACATGGCCAACTTGTTGACCACGTTTCTAATCCAAAAAGTCAATTAAAGACACCTATGAAGTCAAAGCAATGTCTATGAAGCTTCTAAAAAGCTTCCATATTAAATACTATAGAATTAACTTATTTTTACCTACTTTTATTTACTTCTACCTATTTGTATATGTAATTACTAGCTTACATGATTATGTCCGTGACATTATCCCCTTTTCTAGAAACGAATTTCACGAGGAGCGGTCATCATATGTTGAAGAAATCTATGATGCGACGAATTGTATTCGCCACATACTTTGATCTTTGTTCTCTTTGAAGATGATTGATAGGGCCTCTCAACTATCGGTAGTGTCCCATACCAGGGCGGGACGACCACCCAGTTATTTGATCATTGTTGAGGCCTTCGTAACTTCCTTCGAATAGAATATTTGAAACACCATCAGGAGTTGTTCCTACCTCTAGTACAATCACCAAATATCGGGAGTCCCTTACCAAATCGTGATACCAAACGCGTTGTATCTCGCCATCTATTCGAGGAAGAACATGTCATTCTTGAAGATCTTCATCTCGATTGCATCGACTTGAAGGTTGTGACAATCGTAATGTCTCATCCGACACGTCAACAAATGAAGGCTCTTGAGTCGAATCCGTCGGTTGTTGATTCTCCATCTCCTGAGTGTCACTACTACAAAGAAGCTACGAACAAGAATTGAAAGTAGAATGTTATCTTGCTTAGATATTATTTCTTTTATAAAGAAGGTTTTCATCTTGATTTTGATGGATGTCGTCGATGAAAAGCCTCCACCGTCTTTGTTGCATTTGCAAGATTCTTTATTGGCTCCCATGTGCGTTCACTAATACCATATCCACGCCAATGGACAAGATATTCTAATTTATTTTGGCGCCGCCTTGAATCTAAGACTTCTTCTACTTCAAACTCTTCATTATTGTCCACTTCTATAGGACGAGGTGGAGCTTATCGTCTTCTTGGTATGTCCACTGTCTTGTATGGTTCAAGAAAAGACACGTGGAATACTGGATGGATTTACATTGACTCTGGTAGATGTAAACGATATGCAACTGGATTGATTTGTGCAGAAATAGAAAATGGTCCTAGCCTTCGATAGTCCAACTTGTCACAAGAACGAGTGGTCTTGATATTGTGACGAAGTAGCCATACCTTATCACCTAAGACGAATGATGGCTGTTCCTTTCGATAGACATCCACATTGACCTTTTGTTGTTCTTGAGCCTCTTTTAACTGCGCCTTCATCGTTGCATGTAGCTCTGATAAATGAATTGCTAAATCTTTTGCAATAGGATTATCAACTTTTGAAAAGTCAAAAGTATCAAGTCGTGGATGATAACCATATGTCACGGCCATAATCATGTAAGCTAATAATTACATATAGAAATAGGTAGAAGTAAATAAAAGTAGGTAAAAGTAAGTTAATTCTATAATATTTAATATGGAAGCTTCCTAAAAACTTCTTAGATGCTGCTTTGACTTCATAGGTGTCTTTAATTGACTTTTTGGATTAGAAACGTGGTCAACAAGTTGGCCATGTGCCACACATGTTGTTAGCTTAAAGATCAAGCTAACTATGTGGCCCACACGTAGAAAAACTTGCCTTGTAAGTCAAAGCATGTGCCCTACAAAGTCAACACATATTAGAGGTCCTATAGAATATCGCCACGTAGCTCTTAGTTAGATAGTATATATAGAGACAAGAGTGAAGGCTTCTTCACTATTGTCAACTCCTTTCTTGCTTCTAGTCTAGTTTCAAGGGTCTCTAGTTTTCTTGTCTTTTGGCAATAGCCATTCCAGTTCTTCTTTCAATATATATACTTGTTTATATATATTTTGTTACCTCTCTTTGAGTGAAGGCTCACTTGTCTGAATTGTTTTTCATCGAGTTCTTGTCCTTGACAGATTGACAAGAGTGCACTTACAATATCAGAGCTTTGTTTTTCTTGAGTAAGAGTGGATTACCCCTTTCTCTTGACAAGACATAAGCATATTAGAAGTTTACAGATTACCCACTTCTAAACTGATATTGTTCTTAGTATCTTCTTTGTTATCAAGTCTTTTCTTTTTCTTTTGTCTTAAGCAATATCAGACAAATTTTTCTTCTTAGTATCATTATGGTAGAGCTTGTTGAAATGAAGAGTGCAATGGCACAAATGTAAGAACAATTGAGGGAGTTAATGCTTGCGATGCATCAACTCAATTCACCAACACAAGAAAGAACAAGAATAGCAGAAAGTGGAGATATAGAGATGATCGGAGCTGCTTCAACATCTGCACCAAATCACATTCCTTCTCCAATTGTACAATGCCCTGTAAGCACTAGAGAACCAAGAATTTCTTTACCCGAGAAATTTGATGGTACAAGATCAAAGTTTCGAGGGTTCATCAATCAAGTACAATTGGCAATTGAACTTCAATCGTAAAGCTATCCAACTCCAGGATCACAAGTCAGGTTTATTGGCACTTTACTTTCTGGTTCTGCATTATCGTGGTTTTCATCTTTTCTTGAACAACGAAATCCAATATTGGATAATTTGGAAGCTTTTTTGGCAGAGTTTTGATCTATGTATGGTGAACACGATGCAACTCGTGTCGCAACAAACAAGATCCGAATTCTGCGACAAAGAAATCGCTCAGTAACAATGTATGCTTCACAATTTCGACAACTTGCAATTGACATCAAGTGGGATGATGCTGCACTCATCGGTCAATTTCTTTATGGATTGCAATACGAAGTAAAGAAATTGATGCTCAACTTACCTGATCCTCAAATTTTGAGTCAAGCAATCGATTTTGCGGTAAAATGTGACAATCGACTTTTTGAATTTCCATTCGAGAGTCGTACACGGGAACCTCAACATTATTACTCAATGGCAACATCAGCATCTTCGCCAAACGTACATTTGGAAGTAGAAGACATGCAAATTGACGCGGTACATTTTAAACCCCTAATTGAGCAAGAAAAGATTCGTCGTCGTCAAGAAGGATTATATTTATAGTGTAGAGAATCTAAGCACACTACTCAACATTGTCCAAAGAAACAATGTAACTATAAAATGAGGGGTACGGCGGACAAAGAAGACAACATGTCGGAAAACAGATTCGTCCAGCTACAATAGGGACTGTGCAGCTAGAACCTTATACAATTCCTAATGAAGGTCCTATCCTCTCCTCAGAACCCTCTTCTTGTTTTATAATAGAATTATATTTAGGAGCTAAGAATTACAAAGCCTTTGCTTTATTAGATTCGGGAGCCTCAGCATATTTTTTAGATGAACAATTTGTTAAAAGTCATAAAATACCTTTTGTACAGAAAACTAAACCTGTACATGTAGAAGTCATTGATGGCCGTCCTTTGTCTTCTGGAGATGTCACTCATGAAACTCGCCCTATAAAAGTAACAA